ATGGTTGATTAACTGTGGAAGGTCTGTTTCTATCAGTAACCCAGGCCTGTAGTCTATATGGTTGATTAACTGTGGAAGGTCTGTTTCTATATGTAACCCAGGCCTGTAGTCTATATGGTTGATTAACTGTGGAAGGTCTGTTTCTATCAGTAACCCAGGCCTGTAGTCTATATGGTTGATTAACTGTGGAAGGTCTGTTTCTATCAGTAACCCAGGCCTGTAGTCTATATGGCTGATTAACTGTGGAAGGTCTGTTTCTATATGTAACCCAGGCCTGTAGTCTATATGGCTGATTAACTGTGGAAGGTCTGTTTCTATCAGTAACCCAGGCCTGTAGTCTATATGGTTGATTAACTGTGGAAGGTCTGTTTCTATCAGTAACCCAGGCCTGTAGTCTATATGGTTGATTAACTGTGGAAGGTCTGTTTCTATCAGTAACCCAGGCCTGTAGTCTATATGGTTGATTAACTGTGGAAGGTCTGTTTCTATATGTAACCCAGGCCTGTAGTCTATATGGTTGATTAACAGTGGAAGGTATGTTTCTATATGTAACCCAGGCCTGTAGTCTATATGGTTGATTAACTGTGGAAGGTCTGTTTCTATCAGTAACCCAGGCCTGTAGTCTATATGGTTGATTAACTGTGGAAGGTCTGTTTCTATATGTAACCCAGGCCTGTAGTCTATATGGTTGATTAACTGTGGAAGGTCTGTTTCTATATGTAACCCAGGCCTGTAGTCTATATGGCTGATTAACTGTGGAAGGTCTGTTTCTATCAGTAACCCAGGCCTGTAGTCTATATGGCTGATTAACTGTGGAAGGTATGTTTCTATATGTAACCCAGGCCTGTAGTCTATATGGTTGATTAACTGTGGAAGGTCTGTTTCTATCAGTAACCCAGGCCTGTAGTCTATATGGCTGATTAACTGTGGAAGGTATGTTTCTATATGTAACCCAGGCCTGTAGTCTATATGGTTGATTAACTGTGGAAGGTCTGTTTCTATATGTAACCCAGGCCTGTAGTCTATATGGCTGATTAACTGTGGAAGGTCTGTTTCTATATGTAACCCAGGCCTGTAGTCTATATGGTTGATTAACTGTGGAAGGTCTGTTTCTATATGTAACCCAGGCCTGTAGTCTATATGGCTGATTAACTGTGGAAGGTCTGTTTCTATATGTAACCCAGGCCTGTAGTCTATATGGTTGATTAACTGTGGAAGGTCTGTTTCTATATGTAACCCAGGCCTGTAGTCTATATGGTTGATTAACTGTGGAAGGTCTGTTTCTATATGTAACCCAGGCCTGTAGTCTATATGGTTGATTAACTGTGGAAGGTCTGTTTCTATATGTAACCCAGGCCTGTAGTCTATATGGTTGATTAACTGTGGAAGGTATGTTTCTATATGTAACCCAGGCCTGTAGTCTATATGGTTGATTAACTGTGGAAGGTCTGTTTCTATATGTAACCTGTAGTCTATATATGGTTGATTAACTGTGGAAGGTCTGTTTCTATATGTAACCCAGGCCTGTAGTCTATATATGGTTGATTAACTGTGGAAGGTCTGTTTCTATATGTAACCCAGGCCTGTAGTCTATATGGTTGATTAACTGTGGAAGGTATGTTTCTATATGTAACCCAGGCCTGTAGTCTATATGGTTGATTAACTGTGGAAGGTCTGTTTCTATATGTAACCCAGGCCTGTAGTCTATATGGTTGATTAACTGTGGAATGTCTGTTTCTATATGTAACCCAGGCCTGTAGTCTATATGGTTGATTAACTGTGGAAGGTCTGTTTCTATATGTAACCCAGGCCTGTAGTCTATATGGTTGATTAACTGTGGAAGGTCTGTTTCTATATGTAACCCAGGCCTGTAGTCTATATGGTTGATTAACTGTGGAAGGTCTGTTTCTATCAGTAACCTGTAGTCTATATGGTTGATTAACTGTGGAAGGTCTGTTTCTATATGTAACCCAGGCATGTAGTCTATATGGTTGATTAACTGTGGAAGGTCTGTTTCTATATGTAACCCAGGCCTGTAGTCTATATATGGTTGATTAACTGTGGAAGGTCTGTTTCTATATGTAACCCAGGCCTGTAGTCTATATATGGTTGATTAACTGTGGAAGGTCTGTTTCTATATGTAACCCAGGCCTGTAGTCTATATGGTTGATTAACTGTGGAAGGTATGTTTCTATATGTAACCCAGGCCTGTAGTCTATATGGTTGATTAACTGTGGAAGGTCTGTTTCTATATGTAACCCAGGCCTGTAGTCTATATGGTTGATTAACTGTGGAAGGTCTGTTTCTATATGTAACCCAGGCCTGTAGTCTATATGGTTGATTAACTGTGGAAGGTCTGTTTCTATATGTAACCCAGGCCTGTAGTCTATATGGTTGATTAACTGTGGAAGGTCTGTTTCTATATGTAACCCAGGCCTGTAGTCTATATGGTTGATTAACTGTGGAAGGTCTGTTTCTATATGTAACCCAGGCCTGTAGTCTATATGGTTGATTAACTGTGGAAGGTCTGTTTCTATCAGTAACCTGTAGTCTATATGGTTGATTAACTGTGGAAGGTCTGTTTCTATATGTAACCCAGGCCTGTAGTCTATATGGTTTGATTAACTGTGGAAGGTCTGTTTCTATATGTAACCCAGGCCTGTAGTCTATATGGTTGATTAACTGTGGAAGGTCTGTTTCTATATGTAACCCAGGCCTGTAGTCTATATGGTTGATTGACTGTGGAAGGTCTGTTTCTATCAGTAACCCAGGCCTGTAGTCTATATGGTTGATTAACTGTGGAAGGTCTGTTTCTATATGTAACCCAGGCCTGTAGTCTATATGGTTGATTAACTGTGGAAGGTCTGTTTCTATATGTAACCCAGGCCTGTAGTCTATATGGTTGATTAACTGTGGAAGGTCTGTTTCTATATGTAACCCAGGCCTGTAGTCTATATGGTTGATTAACTGTGGAAGGTCTGTTTCTATATGTAACCCAGGCCTGTAGTCTATATGGTTGATTAACTGTGGAAGGTCTGTTTCTATATGTAACCCAGGCCTGTAGTCTATATGGTTGATTAACTGTGGAAGGTCTGTTTCTATATGTAACCCAGGCCTGTAGTCTATATGGTTGATTAACTGTGGAAGGTCTGTTTCTATATGTAACCCAGGCCTGTAGTCTATATGGTTGATTAACTGTGGAAGGTCTGTTTCTATATGTAACCCAGGCCTGTAGTCTATATGGTTGATTGACTGTGGAAGGTCTGTTTCTATCAGTAACCCAGGCCTGTAGTCTATATGGTTGATTAACTGTGGAAGGTCTGTTTCTATATGTAACCCAGGCCTGTAGTCTATATGGTTGATTAACTGTGGAAGGTCTGTTTCTATATGTAACCCAGGCCTGTAGTCTATATGGTTGATTAACTGTGGAAGGTCTGTTTCTATCAGTAACCCAGGCCTGTAGTCTATATGGTTGATTAACTGTGGAAGGTCTGTTTCTATATGTAACCCAGGCCTGTAGTCTATATGGTTGATTAACTGTGGAAGGTCTGTTTCTATCAGTAACCCAGGCCTGTAGTCTATATGGTTGATTAACTGTGGAAGGTCTGTTTCTATATGTAACCCAGGCCTGTAGTCTATATGGTTGATTAACTGTGGAAGGTCTGTTTCTATATGTAACCCAGGCCTGTAGTCTATATGGTTGATTAACTGTGGAAGGTCTGTGTAACCCAGGCCTGTAGTCTATATGGTTTATTAACTGTGGAAGGTCTGTTTCTATATGTAACCCAGGCCTGTAGTCTATATGGTTGATTAACTGTGGAAGGTCTGTTTCTATCAGTAACCCAGGCCTGTAGTCTATATGGTTGATTAACTGTGGAAGGTCTGTTTCTATATGTAACCCAGGCCTGTAGTCTATATGGTTGATTAACTGTGGAAGGTCTGTTTCTATCAGTAACCCAGGCCTGTAGTCTATATGGTTGATTAACTGTGGAAGGTCTGTTTCTATATGTAACCCAGGCCTGTAGTCTATATGGTTGATTAACTGTGGAAGGTCTGTTTCTATATGTAACCCAGGCCTGTAGTCTATATGGTTGATTAACTGTGGAAGGTCTGTTTCTATATGTAACCCAGGCCTGTAGTCTATATGGTTGATTAACTGTGGAAGGTCTGTTTCTATATGTAACCCAGGCCTGTAGTCTATATGGTTGATTAACTGTGGAAGGTCTGTTTCTATATGTAACCCAGGCCTGTAGTCTATATGGTTGATTAACTGTGGAAGGTCTGTTTCTATATGTAACCCAGGCCTGTAGTCTATATGGTTGATTAACTGTGGAAGGTCTGTTTCTATATGTAACCCAGGCCTGTAGTCTATATGGTTGATTAACTGTGGAAGGTCTGTTTTCTATATGTAACCCAGGCCTGTAGTCTATATGGTTGATTAACTGTGGAAGGTCTGTTTCTATCAGTAACCCAGGCCTGTAGTCTATATGGTTGATTAACTGTGGAAGGTCTGTTTCTATCAGTAACCCAGGCCTGTAGTCTATATGGTTGATTAACTGTGGAAGGTCTGTTTCTATCAGTAACCCAGGCCTGTAGTCTATATGGCTGATTAACTGTGGAAGGTCTGTTTCTATATGTAACCCAGGCCTGTAGTCTATATGGTTGATTAACTGTGGAAGGTCTGTTTCTATATGTAACCCAGGCCTGTAGTCTATATGGTTGATTAACTGTGGAAGGTCTGTTTCTATATGTAACCCAGGCCTGTAGTCTATATGGTTGATTAACTGTGGAAGGTCTGTTTCTATCAGTAACCTGTAGTCTATATGGTTGATTAACTGTGGAAGTTCTGTTTCTATATGTAACCCAGGCCTGTAGTCTATATGGTTGATTAACTGTGGAAGGTCTGTTTCTATCAGTAACCTGTAGTCTATATGGTTGATTAACTGTGGAAGGTCTGTTTCTATCAGTAACCTAGTAACACTGCCTGTTTCTCCTCAGGTAATAAACTTGCTTCCTCGCACCATGGCTGCGGAGGATCCATAGACCTCCAACGGGTCCAAAACGGTTCCATCAAATTCACGCAACCGGGTCCAGTGGCGGAGTACACCAGCATCACCTACGACGACGGCAACACCGGGAAACCGTTGGAGTTGGACACGGCGTGCACCTGGGTCATAGATGTCCCTGCTGACGGGACAGTACGGCTGGAGGGGGTGTCTGTGGACGGCGGGTCGGAGGTCACGGTGCTCTGTGGAGCCAGCGGGGAGCGGCGGGGGTTGGTGGCCGGGGAGAGGGCTCTCCTCCTGGGCTGCGGGACAGCTGTAGTCACCTGGAGGGCCCTGGGACCCACCAGCTCTCAACACAACATACAGCTTTTCTATACAGGTTAGTCACCCTATTCCTTATATAGTGCACTTTTGACCAGAGCTCTAAATTCCCTATATAGTGCACTTTTGACCAGAGCCCTAAATTCCCTATATAGTGCACTTTTGACCAGAGCCCTAAATGGCTCCCTACTCCTTATACAGTGCACTTTTGACCAGAGCCCTAAATGGCTCCCTATTCCTTATATAGTGCACTTTTGACCATAGCCCTAAATGGCACCCTATTCCCTATATAGTGCACTTTTGACCAGAGCCCTAAATTCCCTATATAGTGCATTTTTGACCAGAGCCCTAAATTCCCTATATAGTGCACTTTTGACCAGAGCCCTAAATGGCTCCCTATTCCCTATATAGTGCACTTTTGACCAGAGCCCTAAATTCCCTATATAGTGCACTTTTGACCAGAGCCCTAAATTCCCTATATAGTGCCCTTTTGACCAGAGCCCTAAATTCCCTATATAGTGCACTTTTGACCAGAGCCCTAAATTCCCTATATAGTGCACTTTTGACCAGAGCCCTAAATTCCCTATATAGTGCACTTTTGACCAGAGCCCTAAATGGCTCCCTATTCCCTATATAGTGCACTTTTGACCAGAGCCCTAAATGCTGATCCTAGATCAGACTCCCACTCTGAGCAGCTTTGTGAATCTGTCAGGGTCGATGCTGTTACTATGGTGACTGTTGATTGTTCCCAGCATGATTATGAGCCGTAGTTTAAATCTGTCAGTGTGTGTGGTTTTGTTTTGTTACACATTGTGTTTTTATTTCCACTCTCTTTCCTCACCCGCTGTGTGTGTGTGTGTGTGTGTGTGTGTGTGTGTGTGTGTGTGTGTGGGTGTGTGTGTCTGTGTGTGTGTGTGTCTGTGTGTGTGTGTGTGTGTGTGTGTGTGTGTGTGTGTGTGTGTGTGTCTGTGTGTGTGTGTGTGTGTGTGTGTGTGTGTGTGTGTGTGTGCGTGTGTGTGTGTTCCTGTGGTTTCCAGGTCAGGAAGCCGTCTGGAATTCCTCGGAGCGTCAAGGCCCTTGGATGGGTGTGTCTTCAGTCCAACGCTCCTCCGAAAGCTTCAACGGCGACGGAACTCCGCGGAACGAGACCAAATCCATGTTGACTCAGGGGGGACGGAGGGGTGAGGGAGGTGAGATGGGAGCGGGAGGTGAGGCCAGCCTTCAACCATCTGAAAGCTTTGTGGGTGATTTAGAGTTGGACCGGATCCCTGGTTCTACCCCCACCCTACAGGGGCTGTCGACCACCTCCTCTCCCCAGGCGGGGCTCACCGTGGCTGGGCACGCCGATAGGGAAGTCCCCCTGCTTCCTGAGGAAGAACCAGACAATAGAAAGGATACGTCTGGAACTGCTCAGCTTGCTGACCACGTCACTACAGGGTACGACCCTGCCGGAATGAACACACACGCTGACACACACTCCTCACCCAACGTCAATCAGAAGACTACTGCACATGTTACCCACCCTGATCCAGACCAACACACACACTCACACTCACACACACACTCACACTCACACACACACTCACCCACACACTCACACACACACTCACACACACACTCACCCACAGACTCACATACAGTCATACACACCTCTCACAGACACCCATCCATCTCCCTCCCCAGAGCCCTGCGTCTCGCTCTCTCTCTGACCTCCAGCCCTCTAGCAGGCCCAGGGGAGCCTGGCCGGACCCCAACCCCACAACGATACACCCTGGCTGGGCTGACGGAGCAGAGCGGGGCCCCTGGGCGGAGGAGCACCAGGAGCATCAGAGTATGGAGGGGTGAGTGGGGACCTGGGATTACCTCTGACCCCCAGGGGTTAAAGGTCACTTCTGAGGTCACCCCGAGTCAGACTGAGCGGGGCTTGACCAGTGTACCTGTGACAGGTGTGACTGAGGGGTTACCTGGACCAGACATTACTAGTCAAACATCTGCATCCCACTCTCCGGATCCAGACAGAAGTAATCAAAGACAGACAACCCGGACAGAAATCAATAGTGGAACAGATTCATCATTCTCTTTGGATGCATACATTATTAATGGAACAGAGTCGTTGATCTCTTTAGAGACAGACATTACTAATGGAACAGAGTCATTGATCTCTTTAGAGACAGACATTACTAGTGGAACAGAGTCGTTGATCTCTTTAGAGACAGACATTACTAATGGAACAGAGTCGTTGATCTCTTTAGAGACAGACATTACTAATGGAACAGAGTCGTTGATCTCTTTAGAGACAGACATTACTAATGGAACAGAGTCGTTGATCTCTTTTGCAGACATTACTAGTGGAGCGCTATCTCCCTCACACACTCTAACATCACACACCACTCTGACACAAACCCTCTCCTCCCTACCCTCCCTGACTCACCCTCCTCCTCCTCTCCTCTCCTCCTCTCCTCTCCTCCCTACCTTCCCTGACTCCCCTCTCTCCCCCTCCTCCCCCTCTCCTCTCCTCCCTACATTCCCTGACTCCCCTCTCTCCCCCTCCTCCCCCTCCTCCTCCTCCTTTCCTCTCCTCTCTACCCTCCCTGACTCCCCTCTCTCCTCCTCTCCTCTCCTCCCTACCCTCCCTGACTCCCCTCTCTCCTCCTCCTCCTCCCCCTCCTCCTCCTCCTCCTCATCCTCATCCTCCTCTCCTCTCCTCTCTACCCTCCCTGACTCCCCTCTCTCCCCCTCCTCCTCCTCCTCCTCCTCCTCCTCCTCCTCCCTCTCCTCCTCCTCCTCCTCCTCCTCCTCCTCCTCCTCCTCCTCCTCCTCCTCCTCCTCCTCCTCCTCCTCCTCCTCCTCCTCTCCTCTCCTCTCTACCCTCCCTGACTCCCCTCTCTCCTCCTCCTCCTCCTCCTCCTCCTCCTCCTCCTCCTCCTCCTCCTCCTCCTCCTCCCCCTCCTCCTCCTCCTCCTCCTCCTCCTCACCCCTCAGTCCTGACAGAGACAGAGACTACAACAGGACTACAAATCCCTTCATCCCCTCTCCATTCACCACAGCAGAGCTGCCTCTGGCACCTCTGACCCCTGATCGACCTCTACTGGTGACCACAACGACCAGCACCACGATGGACGGTGATTCACAACGGCCAGAGACGGACCCGGACGAGGACTCAGGCACACCCCCCGCTGTCACACACAAACACGCTACACACACTCCTCTCTCACAGACACCTGTACTGTCCTCAACCAGTGGGTCCCCCACACACACTCCTCTCCAGGAACACACCACCACAAATGCTGGTCCTGTCGCTTTGTCCACCCATCCTGAACATCCTGTATTGACCGCGACCACAACCACTCTGACCGCTCCCAGTGGTCCGACCACAACCACTCTGACCGCTTCCAGTGGTCCGACCACAACCACTCTGACCGCTCCCAGTGGTCCGACCACAACCTCTCTGACCGCTCCCAGTGGTCCGAACACAACCACTCTGACCGCTCCCAGTGGTCTGACCACAACCTCTCTGACCGCTCCCAGTGGTCCGACCACAACCACTCTGACCGCTCCCAGTGGTCCGACCACAACCACTCTGACCGCTCCCAGTGGTCCGACCACAACCACTCTGACCGCTCCCAGTGGTCCGACCCCAACCACTCTGACCGCTCCCAGTGGTCCGACCACAACCACCCTGACCGCTCCCAGTGGTCCGACCACAACTCCCCTCTACCCTGCCGTTACAACCGGTCCTGTGGTCACCACCACCACACAACCATCACTGACCACAAAACAACCATCCACAACCACAACACAACCAACCTCAACAGAACCATCACTGACCACAAAACAACCATCCACAACCACAACACAACCAACCTCAACAGAACCATCACTGACCACAAAACAACCATCCACAACCACAACACAACCAACCTCAACAGAACCATCACTGACCACAAAACAACCATCCACAACCACAACACAACCAACCTCAACAGAACCATCACTGACCACAAAACAACCATCCACAACCACAACACAACCAACCTCAACAGAACCATCACTGACCACAAAACAACCATCCACAACCACAACACAACCAACCTCTACCACGCAGTCACCCCCCAGGCTCAGGACTAGCAGACCCCCACCCTGGTCCGCCCCTCACCCCAGCCAGGGCAGCCCATCGGCGGGTACGTCCTCTGGCCTGTCCCCCTCTCCTCCCCACTCCACCATCAGCTCCACGCGCAGACCCAGAGTCTACATCGTGCCTGATCGGCCTGCTGCCATCAAAGGTAGGAGACTGGGTGGGTGTGTGTTTAGTGAGTGTGTATTAACTGTGTGTGTGTATTAACAGTGTGTGTATGTGTTTAGTGTGTGTGTGTGTGTGTGTGTGTGATGTTTGTGTGTGTGTGTGTGTAATACAGTGTGTGGTTGTGTGTGTGTGGGTGGTATTAACAGTGGGTGTGTGTGGGTGTTGTAATTAAACATTGTGTTGGTGTGGTTTGGTGTGTGTGTGGTGGTGTGTGTGTTTGTGTGTGTGTGTGTGTGTAATTAACATTGTTGTGGGTGTGTATTAACATGTGTGTGTGGTGTGTATAACAGTGGTGTTGGTGTGTGTGTGTGTGTGTGTATAACAGTGTTGTGGTGTGTTTGGTGTGTTCCACAGTGTGTGTGTTGTTTGGTGTGTGTGTGTGTTTTAACAGTGTGTGTGTGTGTGTTTGGTTGTGTGTGTGTGGTTGTGTTAACAGGTGTGTGTGTGTGTGTGTGTGTGTGTGTGTGTATTAACAGTGTGTGTGTGTGTGTGTGTGTATTAACAGTTGTGTGTGTGTGTGGTGTGTGTTTAACGTGTGTGTGTGTGTTGTGTTGTATTACAGTGTGTGTTGTGTGTATTAACAGTAGTGTGGTGTGTGTGTGTGTGTGTGTGTATAACAGTGTGTGTGTGTGTTTGGTGTGTGTGTGTGTGGTGTGTGTGTGTGTGTGTGTGTATTAACAGTGTGTGGTGTGTGTGTATTAAACAGTGTGTGTGTTTGGTGTGTGTATTAACAGTTGTGTGTGTGTGTTTACAGTGTGTGTGTGTAAACAGTGTGTGTGTGTAAAGTTGGTGTGTGTGTGTGTGGTGTGTGTATTAACAGTGTGTTGTGTGTGTGTGTGTGTGTGTGTGTTATTAACAGTGTGTGTGTGTGTGTATTAACAGTGTGTGTGTGTGTGTATTAACAGTGTGTGTGTGTGTGTATTAACAGTGTGTGTGTATTAACAGTGTGTGTGTGTGTGTGTGTGTATTAACAGTGTGTGTGTGTTAACAGTGTGTGTGTGTGTGTGTGTGTGTATTAACAGTGTGTGTATTAACAGTGTGTGTATTAACAGTGTGTGTATTAACAGTGTGTGTGTGTGTGTGTGTGTGTATTAACAGTGTGTGTGTGTGTGTGTGTGTGTGTGTGTGTGTGTGTTGTGTGTATTAACAGTGTGTGTATTAACAGTGTGTGTATTAACAGTGTGTGTATTAACAGTGTGTGTATTAACAGTGTGTGTATTAACAGTGTGTGTATTAACAGTGTGTGTATTAACAGTGTGTTGTGTATTAACAGTGTGTGTGTGTGTGTGTGTGTGTATTAACAGTGTGTGTATTAACAGTGTGTGTATTAACAGTGTGTATATTAACAGTGTGTATATTAACAGTGTGTGTATTAACAGTGTGTGTATTAACAGTGTGTGTGTATTAACAGTGTGTATATATTAACAGTGTGTATATTAACAGTGTGTGTATTAACAGTGTGTATATTAACAGTGTGTATTAACAGTGTGTGTATTAACAGTGTGTATATTAACAGTGTGTGTATTAACAGTGTGTGTATTAACAGTGTGTGTATTAACAGTGTGTGTATTAACAGTGTGTGTATTAACAGTGTGTGTATTAACAGTGTGTATTAAACAGTGTGTGGTATTAACAGTGTGTGTATTAACAGTGTGTGATATTAACAGTGTGTATATTAACAGTGTGTGTATTAACAGTGTGTGTATTAACAGTGTGTGTATTAACAGTGTGTGTATTAACAGTGTGTGTGTGTGTGTGTGTATTAACAGTGTGTGTATTAACAGTGTGTATATTAACAGTGTGTGTATTAACAGTGTTGTTGTGTTATTACAGGTGTGTTATTAACAGTGTGTGTATTAACAGTGTGTATATAACATGTGGTGTGTATTAACAGTGTGTGTATGTACAGTGTGTGTATTAACAGTGTGTGTGTATTAACAGTGTGTATAAACAGTGTGTGTATTAACAGTGTGTGTGTGTGTGTGTATATTAACTGTGTGTGTGTGTATAGTGTATAGTGTGTATTAACAGTGTGTTGTATGTTAAGTGTGTGTTATTAACAGTGTGTGTGTTGTGTGTGTGGTATTAAATGGTTGTGGTGTGAGTGTTGTATTAACGGTGTGTGTGTTGTGTGTCGTGTGTTATTAACATGTGTGTTGTGTGTGTGTTTAACTGTGGTGTGTGTGTTGTGTAGTGTGTATTAACAGTGGTGTGAGTGTGTGTTATTAAACTTGTGTGTGTGTGTGTGTTGTGTTATTAGTGGTTGTATTAACATGTGTGTGTGTGTGTGTTGTGTGTATTACATTGTGGTGTTGTGTGTGTGTGTGTTGTGTGTGTGTGTGTGTATTAACCTGGTGTGTGTGTGTATTAACAGGTGTGTGTGTGTGTGTGTGTGTTATTAACTGTGTGTGTGTGTGTTTGTGTATGTGTATTAACAGTGTGGTGTGTGTGTGTGTGTTGTGTGTGTATTACTGTGTGTGTGTGTGTGTGTGTGTATTAACAGTGTGTGTGTGTGTGTATTAATAGTGTGTGTGTATTAACAGTGTGTGTGTGTGTGTGTGTGTTATTAACTGTGTGGTGTGTTTATGTTGTTTAAGTGTATGTGTTGTGTGTGTATTGACAGTGTGATGTGTTGTGTATGG